AAAAAAAAAAAAAAAAAAAAAAAAAAAGAAACACGGATGTTCAGCAGTGTCGCTGTCCCCATCCTGTGCCTTCTGATCCACCAATTCTCTCTGACCTTCCAAGTCTACCCATCAGGGCACAAAGAAATTTCTGGATCCATCTATATACCTTGATAGGCAATGGGGAATTGAAGGAACTACCTCAGGTCCAGGTGTTAGAAACCTCCCTCGACTCGGCAGCACGTTCTGTCAGCATTACTGAACAGGAACTTCTCTAAAGAGCTTGAGCTTTTCCCAGCTACACCCTGAGAACCCCAAACCAAGGTGAGTGTCTCTATCACTCCCAGTTCTCTGCTCCAACACTTGTTGGAACAGTCAACCCCAAAAGGGGAGCCAGGATGTGTCTGGCTTCATGCCTCTTCCTCTGATTTGCTCACTCCACCCAGCACCAGAGGGCCTCTAGATTCCCTTCCCATCCTGGACGACAACCCTCCTCCCAGCTGGCTGTGTTTTCACTGACCACGTGCAGTTCTTCTGAATTAATCACTGGTTCAGCATCTCCTACTTGCCATCCGTGAGACCAGCTCAGCATTTGCTCCTGCTCCTGCCATTTATGTTGGTTAATTTTGTTCGTCAACTGAGGCCATGATACCTAGTGTTTGGTCAAACGCCAGTCTAGATGTTGTTGTGAAGGAATTTTTAGATGTGATGAACATTTAAATCAGTAGACCCTGAGTAAAGCAGATCATCCCCCAGAATGTGGATGGGCTTCATCCAGTCAGTTGCAGGCCTTACGAGAAAAGACTGAGGTCCCCCAAGGAAGAAGGAATTCTTCCTCCAGACCGCCTTTGGGCTCGAGCCTATACTGTCAACCCTCGCCTGGGTCTGCCGCTTGCCAGGCTGCCTTGCAGAGTGTGGACTTGCCAGCCCACCACGGTCATGTGAGCTAATTCCTTAAAAGAAATCTCTATATATATAGCTACAGCTGTAGATACAGATATATCCATATATCTAGATATCCAAATGGATATCCATCCTATTGGTTCTGTTTCTTTGGGGAACCCAGACTAGTCCACCATTCTAACACACAGGGGACCACTCATTTTCTCTCAGGCTTTCATCTTGTGTCACATCTTCTCTGGCTTCTTTTCTTTTAAGAGCATCAGAGTATTTCTTTTTTCTTCTGATTGGCAAAGTGAACAGTGAAAATGAGTTAAGTAAAATCTTCTGATCCTCTCTGTCAATGCGGGGTTCTCAAGACCTGCTCTTGGGTAGATCATGTTGAGAGAGATCAGAAGACTGATCCCTAAAGACATGTGGTTCTAACTACTTAAAAAGACATCACTACCCGAATCATAATTTGACTGTATATTTTGAGGTACTAATTTGTTGTTTTCTCCCTTCTATTTTTCCTTTCCCTCGCCCCCTTCCCAATCGAAGCCTTGCTCTTCATTCCCTCAGGAGACTATGTCAGGGTAGAAAACAGAAGTAACCTGTAACCTGTAATTCTGGTTTTGGCTTTCCAAAGAGCTTATGCCTGAGCTTAATCCAGAAGGCTAAACAGGGGCTAACAGGGCAAGGGGTGCTCATACCGACAGACAGAGTATCCCAGAGAATTTGAGGAAGAGCAAGGTTTCTCCACTCCAGGCTGGAAAGCAGCAATCAATGACTAATACTCAACTTTTATGGTACAGCTCTGGGTTTGGAGGTTCAGGGTGTACAGGTACTCTAGGAATGAAGGAAGTAAAACTGAAATTGTCCGTTAATCTAGTAAATGACAGCTCTAACAGCTAATAATATCAAGTGCCTGCTATGTGCCAGGCCCTATACTAAGAGTTCTTACGTGTATTAGTACTATTATTTTCTCCATTTATTTAAAAAGTAAATGATTTGCCCAAAATTGGGCAGCTATTAAGACATGGTTGGGCCACGGTTCCAGAATCTTTACCTGGAATCCTAACCTAAATGGTCAGACTCCAGAGTGCTTACATAATTAATAGATAAAATAACTGCATAACCAATGCATCTGATAACAATAACAGTTTAAAAGTATAGATTAAGGGGAATTCCCTGGTGGTCCAGTGGTTAGGGCTCTGCTCTTCCATGCAGGGGGCACGGGTTCAATCCCTGGTCAGGGAACTAGGATCTTGCACGCCACGCAGCAGCATAGCCAAAAAAAAAAAAAAGTATAGATCAGGAAGAATATTTATATGGCTAATTCTGTACATTGGCTTATTAATTGGAACAAATTATAAAAGAATACTTCTCTAGAATTTCAATGCCTCTTTTGGTTCTGCTATGATTACTCAAATTACAGTAACAGCTTGGAAAACAATATTCCAGAATGATGTATTACTCACATGTTTATTTCATCTTCATTTAATAACTGCATCACTAGCAGGGTAACATGAAAGGAACCATCACTGTTCATTGCTTTGGCCAGTCGCTGATCTTGTTGTATTATTGCATTTTGCAGGATCTTAATTTCTTTTGTAATCTAATCACACACAGACAAAACAGAGATTAGGTAAGCAAAATTTCCTTACGGTAACACTGAAATCGAGAAGAAAAAGAAGCAACATTTGAAATGAGAATGATGTCAAGATCCTTCAGCCAAACAATGCTTAATTGTCTAACTATTCTCAAATATCCTGGAGAAATGACTTGGAAAGTTTAATAGGATGTTTAAGTTAAAAAAAATCACACAATGCTTGTCCATTTTAAAAGCATCAAGCCCAACACCCTTCTTTTACAGACTGCGCCACTGGTTGAGTGGAAAAATTCTCAATGCCCATGTATCTTTTCAGAAATGTATCCTTTGAATATATAGTATGACTCACTATAATTATGATCTTTCCTAAAAATAAAAGTTTTATTCTTGCCACAGAAATGTCAAACTGGCAGACAACATTCCATTTCTGTTGGCAGTAATATTTATTTGTCCCCAAGTGAATGTGTCTGAGAACCCATTCTTCATGGCCTTTAAGATTTTTTAGGACAGCAATAATTTCAACAGGAATGACTACTGTCATTTCCCCAGACATGTGAGGAGGGGCATCACCATGGAGAGAGAGCTGCAAACAAGTCTAAATGCATAGGTTAGAAAAACTGTACAGTCCGCACCTAAGCAAAATCCCTGGTCCCTCATCAGCCTCCCCCTCTGAACCTAATAAGAACAAAGAAGAGGAATGGTGGCTTTCCCCTCCTCCATTTCCAGTTGGAGACAATTCTAGTCCACTTCTAAATGTGAATGCACTGGAAAATAGTTCGAATATGGACTAGCAAACCAAGCAATCCCCAGAGAAAAGAGCGCACGTAGAAGCCCAGAGGCAGCAGAATTAGAGAGAAAAGGAAGAGAGAGGGGGCTGGCAATAGAAGCAGAGCCCTAAAAAGACAGCAGAGATAAGAAACAACTGAATCATGAGCACAGCAGGCTGTCCTGATACTAAAGAAGCTGTTTCATCCTGAACAATGTTCCCATTATCTGCAGAATGCAATTGGGCAAATCATGAGATGCTATTCTGGGATCTGACTTCTCACGTATCTTTACAATAAATCCACATCACCCAAAATAACCTCAGCATTTCTCTATTCCTTGCAACCTGGAGGACAGTAAAATGAGAAACAGTGTTTTCCTGGTAGGAAGTTATGCAGTAACACCTAACACAAGATTTCCCAAGGGAAGATGTCACTTCCACGACACCCAGCAAAAGAATACTGACAGCCTGATAATTAAAATGCTCCTAAAGCAATAGTACACAAAGATCTTACAGAGTCAGCGTTTCCTCTACCTCTATATTGATAAAACTAAATTGTAAGCCAGTGCCGAGTAAATCATGCGAGCTCAAGAATATCAGACCTCAAAACAGTAAAACCACATCTTCAAATCTTAGCTGGTACAAATGGTAATTCCAGCTTAATTGATCGTGAAAAACTGGTTTAGGATGAGAACTTTTCAATACAGTGTGATGCAAATTAAAGGTTCTGGACTTGTATCAGAAATCCTGGATTTTAAGCCCAGGACTGCCGCGGGTGGAACCCCACAGAGGTCACCTAGTCTCAGTGAGTCTTGGTTTCTTCAATTGTAAAGCACTGCCAAACTTACACGGATGTGTTAAAGGTCACGCAGACAAGCTACAGGAAAGCACTTTGCAAGCTCTGCACCATTTGCCTAATATAAGGTCTGCAACACTGCCACTATTATTTTTTTTTTAATATAGAACTTTATGACAGAATTAAGGGTAATGAAATGTCAGTTTTTTTAAAGGTTTTTAAATTTATTTATTTATTTATTTATGGCTGTGTTGGGTCTTCGTTTCTGTGCAAGGGCTTTCTCTAGTTGCGGCAAGCAGGGGCCACTCTTCATTGCGGTGTGTGGGCCTCTCACTATCGCGGCCTCTCCCGTTGCGGAGCACAGGCTCCAGACGCACAGGCTCAGCGGCCGAGGCTCACGGGCCCAGTCTCTCCGCAGCATGTGGGATCCTCCCAGACCAGGGCTCGAACCCGTGTCCCCTGCATCGGCAGGCAGACACTCAACCACTGCGCCACCAGGGAAGCCCCTACCACTATTATTAAAATCAGTGGTTCTCTACCCCAGGGGACATTTGTCAATGCCTGGAGACATTTTCATTGTCACACCTGGGGTTTGCCACTTGCACCTAGTGGTAGAGTATCTGCATTTTCATAAAAGCTGAGTCTTCATTCTAAGCTCAAATACTAATTATATGTAAATTCAGGACAATGCTCAAAAATTTCCATCCATTTGTATATTCCGCATTTTAGTGCAATGTCCTACTATTTAGTGAAAAATAGTTTTAGACCATTCATATCTTTGAATTACCCAGTAGCTTGTAAAATTGCAAATTAAAATTTGTAAAACACTTTGAAGACTATTTCTCTGAAGTCACATAGTACTTATAGTGCAAAATAATCTTAATCTATGAAAATTCTAAAGATAATCTAATCAAGTAATGTATTTCTAACTATGCTTTGATGCTCCAGATCAATTTACATATTCCTTGATACCATCTTTTAAAAAATTTTTTAATGCATTTTATTACTAATTATATTCTTAAAAGATAAAAAGAAAAAATGAAACTACTTCAGAGTCTTCTCTGTATTCCATTTTAAAAGGTACCAGTGTTGGGCTTCCCTGGTGGCACAGTGGTTAGGAATCTGCCTGCCAATGCAGAAGACATGGGTTCAAGCCCTGGTCCGGGAAGATCCCACATGCCGCAGAACAACTAAGCCCGTCTGCCACAACTACTGAGCCCGACTGCCACAACTACTGAAGCCCGCATGCCTAGAGCCCGTGCTCTGCAACAAGAGAAGCCACCCAGTGAGAAGCCCGCACACCACAACAAAGAGTAGCCCTCGCTCGCCGCAACTAGAGAAAAGCCCCTGCACAGCAACAAAGACCCAACGCAGCCAAAAATAAATATAAATAAATAAATTTTTTTTAAGTACCAATGTCATTAAAGGTCAAAGGAAACTAATTTTTACAGTCCCTGTTTAAAATTCTACAAAGCCTTTAAAGCGTATCTGTCATCATAATCCCCAGCCACTGGCAGTACTGCACAATGCACATTTTTTATACCTAATATTGTAGAGCCATATTTAAGTAAAATATTAAAAGAAACTTTAAAAAATAAAAGCTTATTAAAATATTAAATATTTCATTCATTGAGTAGTTTCTTTGTATTTAGAGAATAAAAACAGACACGAATCTGCTAAACCTCACCAAGCCATGTTCCACATGCCTAAAAATGACACAATAAGAAATTTCATTTTTCTATCTTTTAAGCTTTCTAGTTGATTCAAAGCATACATAAGCCCAAAGAAAAAGCCTTCAAGTTAGTTCATGAGGGAGAGTAGTTATAGTCTAGCACACAGAAGGAGAATGTCCTTGACCTCATCTTTTGACATTATTTTTGGATTTTTTCTAAGCTGTTAACATAAATTATTCCTAAATTTGCTGCCTCATTAAGATTTAACAGAATTATCCCATCAATTTGCTACCTAACTTTTCTTCAAAGCTGAATATAGTCATTTTTCTTGCTTGTTTACACAAAGGAAAAATCTTGAAAATTTAATGATACAGCAATAAGTAAAAATTTTAAAAACATCCTAAAATAGGAGAATTTTCTGTATTTTAACATACATGATGATATCAAGTATTTTCACAACTGCATTTCCCAGAAAGGAACAGAATGCACAAATCATTTTTCATCTTTTCATAAGACCAATAATTTTCACATTACAAAACGATGAAATACAGAATTAAATGTAGCAAATGCCTTTTAAAACCCGTAAAGAGCACCATATTTTTCCATTAGTATAAAACAATTATCTTACCAAAAAAATTAATACACTCCTAATTTCAATCAGCTTCTGATTGTTCCCTTGCATTTTTCAGTGCTGACTTACCTTAAATTATTACCTCTCGTAAGAAAGCATATAAAACCAACATATGGGCAAATCCACGCAGAACTAATAATTAAGCAATTCTAGCCAGTTAAGAAATATTTAGGATTTATTATAATGCCATTAAATTTCTCATCTTTTTATTTTCAAACTAATGTGTAATTGCAGGTAGTGGAGAAACACATACTTTCACATGCATGCAATTAGGATATTTTTATGCAGTCATTCTAATTCATTTTCCAATTCTATTTCTTAAAAATATGAAAATCATGATTTTCCAAAACTAAAGCATTCCAAATGTCTAATAACGTGTTTAAAAATCAAAGACCCTTATAAGTCTGAATACTATTTTCTTTAAAACTAGATGCCAACAAGTAGAGGCCAAAAGTAGAGCAGCTCATTGTCAATGTGCTGGCTTCCAAAAGCTTGTTTGCAGGTCACTTAATTGGAACTTGGAATACAGTCTCCCATTGAAATAATGTTATAAATGCTGCTCCTTTTCCCAGGCCTTCCCACAAAAGCCCATAAGTAGTTTCAACAGAAAATTAACATTAGATACTTTCAAACAAACAAACAAAAAAGGTGCTCATACAAAAGATATAAAAAGTATCTCCTGGGCTTCCCTGGTGGCGCAGTGGTTGAGAGTCTGCCTGCCGATGCAGGGGACGCAGGTTCGTGCCCCGGTCCAGGAAGATCCCACATGCTGCGGAGCGGCTGGGCCCGAGAGCCACGGCCGCTGAAACTGTGCGTCCAGAGCCTGTGCTCCGCAACAGGAGAGGCCACAAAAAAAAAGTATCTCCTCATCTTGTCCTATTCCTATTCCCCATATTCCATTAAGCTTTCTGTTACCCACAAATAAGTCTCTTGAGAGGGAAATATTAAATTATTTGGTTTCCAGGTTACTTGGAGCTTGTGTGCCCCACTATTACAAGTCATCCTACCCCCTGGAAAACAAACTGCCATTGAACCTATATTATAAAACCAGCATTTGTAACACTGTATTTATTATTTATAAACATTCTGGTTGGAATTTGGTATGCCAGAAACACACCGTCCACCCTGAAATCACAGTATTTTGTGTGTGTGCGCCTACTCTTGCCAAACTCGGTTCTAGGTACTGGGATCGACCTGAAAAACTTTGTGAGGAAGATTAACAAGTGTCAAATTTCAAGGATGACAAATGACAAAAGGAAAGCCATGAAAGTGTTGTGTTTCATTGTTTTTTTGGGTTTTTTTTGGGGGGGGGGGTTGACGTAGTCAGGGTGGTCACGGGTGGGAGAGGTTTGAGCTGAGATATTGGCATTCACAAAATCAAAAGGAGAGGAAAGTAAACTCCCAGCCAGAGAAGGCTTTCCAGGGGACAGAGGGAAACTGGCAAGTTCAAGCAAGGCCAGAGGGGCTCAAGCAGAAGGAACGAGGGCTCAGGTGGAAAAGGCCAAGCCATGTAGAACCTTCTAGAATATGGTAAAGCCTCTGTCTTCATCCTAACAACAATGGGAAAATACTGAAGTGTATAAGCATGTAGGTGATGTGTCCAGATTTGGATTTAGAAAATAATCATTATCACCTCCATTTTACAACTGAAGACACCGAAACTACAGCAATTAAGTAACCTGACCTACATCCACAGTGGAGTTTGTAATCCAGCTGGTATCCAAACAAGGTCTGTCAGGTTCCAAAGCCTGTACTCTCCTCACTTTCTACAGAACCTCCAAGAAGTTGAAAAGCAGAAACAGAGTGGAACAAAGCAGCTTGCGGGGTGAAAACTAAGGTTGCAAACAGTTCTCTCATCCCCTCCTCTCATGTTTGCAGCCTGAATCCTGAACTAAGTAGCAGAAGAAAAGAATCTCTCCACCCTCTTTCCCCTTGGTCCCCTTCCCTGCCAGGCCTATCCCAGCACATCACCCCACCAGTCTTCACTGGAGGAGGCAGGAAGCCGGCACAGGGCTGGAAGGGGCTGGGGCAGGCTCAGAGGGGTTGCAGAGCTGCTGCTCTGACCACCAGAGCCAAGAACAGAGGCAGGCAGGGAGCAAGAGGAAAGGAAGGACCTAAGCAAAGCAACTCAGAGAAGGGCTCACCCAACTTCTATGCTCACAGACGCTGGAGTGAAACAATCTCCAAGCAAGAAATCAAAAGAAGGAACCTGGCGTCTCTTCCAATCAGAAATCATGTGCCCTTGGGGACGTCACATGGCCTGTTTCACAGGCAGTTTCCTCAGGACCTGGCCTCTGTCTGACTGCTTGCTTAAACAGCACCACCTGTGGCTTCCTGCTCTCTTCTCATTCCCATAGGTATACGTGATTCTAAATCTCAGAGAAAACCTGTCCAAATAACTCACAAGTATTTTAATACATAATTTCTGATTGCATTAAACTTTGCATCAGCTAAACACTTTTAAGGGCTATTTTACTGTTAACCCGCCACTACGTACCAGTAAAACCAAAGTCTGATTCTTTACTGTATCAAATTCTAAAATCCTGTATTGCTAGGTAATACCATTTCTCTTTTTATGTGTTTTTCTCCCCAACTAAACTGTATCTCACAGACTAGATACTTCCTAGAGTGTCCTAAAATAATTTTTATTATTCTTTGATATTTATTTCTTTGATTTCAATTTCATTTGCTTTGATCTTTAAAAATTCACTAGCATTGTGTAGAAACATTCTAGTTAAATAAAGGGAAAAGCAACCTGAAAATATGCCCAGTTAAGAGATCAGAGCCCACAATCAAACAGAAATTCAGATCTAGCTCTTAAGATATATGAAATTGGGCCAAGATATAAAAGCAGTCAGTCATCCGAATAAGGTGTTCTTTCCTAAGGCATTTTTAATTCCTAACTCACTGCTCTAGAGGTCTTAGATACTGCAGTTTTCTCTCTCGGTCACATATAAGGGTTTCTTAGTGTGGGCCAGTTGGCTGGTCCCATTTCCTATTACTGATGCCACATTAATTTTTCAGACTTTTAATAGATTTCTACCAAGTTTGTCATGCACTATTAAGTTGGTACAACAATGAGTAATTTTGAAAGAAACTACGTTGCAATAATCATTACCATGAACTGGACTAAGCAGCAGGAAATCCCAGTTTACTTTCCCCACAGAGATTTCAGAATCTTTTTTTTACCAGCTCTCTGCTTCTGAAAGATTCCTCCACTATGATAAACAAACACTCAGAAAGGACCTTGACATGCTACCTGGCAACACTTCTTCAAGTGGCTTTTGCAAAATTATTGTTTAAATATGATTGTTTAAATAGTGTTTGTTTTTTTTGCAGTGCGCGGGCCTCTCACTGTTGTGGCCTCTCCCATTGCGGAGCACAGGCTCCGGACGCGCAGGCTCAGCGGCTATGGCTAACGGGCCCAGCCGCCCCGCGGCACGTGGGATCTTCCCGGACCGGGGCACGAACCTGTGTCCCCTGCATCGGCAGGCGGACTCTCAACCACTGCGCCACCAGGGAAGCCCTAAACAGTGTTTTTAAAAATTATTGTTTACACATATTCTATATTCCCTGTGTGGCCCAGCTAAAAATGCCACCAAAGACTCTTAAAAGCTGAGAGGAAATAGGCTTATGAGCATTTAGTGTACCTTAAATATAATTTAGAATAAACTTAGTAAAAATAATTTTTTTTAAAAATAGCACCTCTTTGTTGGTGATCGGAACGGATAGGAAATAGTTGGGTTGATCATCTTTTTGCTTTTTTTTCCTCTTCTTTATTTTATCTTTATTGTTCCATTCCTTTTCTTTACTTCTCTCCAAATTTATCTGAGGTACATCAGTGACTAGAAAAAAAAAGTCAAACAACATGTCTAATGCATTTAAACAAAGATAATAGAATCAGAAAAAAAACAAGCACTATACAAGTAGCAATCATTCTTAACTGTCATTTTCAAACCTAAAATAGGAATTGGCAAACTCTTCTGCAAAAGACCTCATAATAAATATTTTAGGCTTTGCAGATCATACGGTCTTAGTCAAAACTACCCAAGTCTGCTATAGACAAAACACAGATGAATGGGTACAACTGTTTTCTAATAAAAATTTATTTACAAAGCAGATAGATGTGGCCCATGGGCCATGGATTCACTAACCTCTGATCTAAAGCATAACTAACAACCATTCTCTTCCCCTTGCCACAATTTTCATGATGCTAGGAAAAATCACTTTTTCATCTATCCTGTATACGTATATTTGTAACTTTTACAACAAAAGCACTTGCAGCAGTGCCATTCAAAGTTTGGTTCAAGGCCAGTGTCATACTACAAACCATTTGATCCAGAAACTGAGAGAATGCTTTATAAACTTTCAGAGTAATTAGGCAAAGTAATTTTGTCTGTCAAATTTTGGCTTCTATTTTATAGATCTTTTTCTTTAACACCTTTTTGCTAATAATTCATGTTTTATTATATTTTACAAAAGTATCAGTCAGCAACATGTAAGAAATTAAAGAAAATAAATCATCCTTGACCATAGGTAACTTGAGAAACACTTAGCATGCTTTTTAAGGTCATCTTCAAACGACATTTCCAACACCCAACAACTCTTATTATGAAGTTATACCCCCAGAAGTAATTTCCAAATCAGCGTGAAATGCCATTATCTCTTTTACAAATTCTATCAGGGGCTTCCCTACCCGTGCAAAACTACCATTAATTTATTTCTCAGGTGTGCCTTCTTGAACAGTAGCTTACTGTTCAAAATACAGTACCTCATAGAGACTTTGAAAAATTCAAATATAATTGTATATTCTGAGGTATGATTTTGGAAAGAGGGAGAGAGGGAGGAAGCACCTTGCCTTACATTCAGTCCTATGTAGTTGGTTTCATCTTTGGGATCAACTCAGACCATAGTGACCAAGAGCACAAGGCCCATGTGCATCTAACTAAACTCCTTATTTTACATACGATGAAAGAGAAGAGAAGAAAAACTTTTTAAAGCAGCTCAATGTCACAGAGTCAAGCCTGGTGTCTAGACCTTTTAAAGGTCTCCTTCTAGTGTACTTTCTACTGGAGCAAACTGCTTCCCTCTCGCAGCTCTAGATAAGTAGCTACTACTGCACACAAAACCAAAGAGCGGAAGGAATTGTCCTTATTCTGTTGTTCTTTGAAATATTAATAGTAGACAATTTTTAAATGAATGCTGCAAATAATACTTTAATGCTAACTTCTAAGAAAAATAGTAGAAAACGTTTAAAATTTAAAAATTAAGAGTTTGTGGGAATAGACATGCTTTCTTTCTAGGATTAACATATCTGTGAGCCCTAGAAAAAGACTTAAGACAGGGGTAAATTAAGAGCAAGGTGATCTGGGTAATAAATCTGACTGTATCATTACGAGTTAAGGCCAAACTACCCAGTCTGTTTGTGCAACCATTTCTCTACTACATTTCTCAACAATATGCATAATGATTAACATGGTTAAAATGATATATCTTCACAGAGAACACATATTTGAAATATAAATTATTAGCTTCTTTTGTACCTGTGAGCTTGTCAGAACTTTTAAAAAGTTCGTAGCATTCTCTGTATTACAAGCATTATCTGAATTGCTTCATAAGATGCCACTGGATTTTATTTCCCATGCAGCTTTTTTCACATGGAAAATCAAATCAATACACTGAGCTGCTTGTAATTTCAGATACATAAGAAATAGTCCTACCATTGATTGTAGTAACATGAATTAAATGTACTAATTTTAAACAAAAGCCACAAAATATGCTAATGAAGTACCACATATTTTAAATCCACTTCTAAAATACATTCCTAGCCCACCTCCATCTGCCGTTAGTAAACTGGCACTCTGTAAAAGGAAACCATTTTTAACATAATCTGGGCTGGAATCCTGGCTCCACACACTAGCTGTGTGACCTTAGATAAGTCACATAAATTCTCCTGACCTAAGTTTCCTCCTCTCTAATGTGAGGATAATAATAACAGCTACCTCATAGGAACATTTAAACATTGACTTAGGGACTTTCCCTGGTGGTTCAGTGGTTAAGACTCCGTGCTTCCACTGCAGGGGTATCTGACAGTTATCAGCCTATGCCTTTGTGTAAAAGTAATGTACAAAAGGAAAAGGGGGAGTGGAAATGGCTGCTGGGAAGACAATCAGCAATGCAGCAGAGGCAGCACTAGATAGTGAAAGGGCACTGACCCAAAGACTAGTCTTCCAACAAGCATCTTTCCATCAATTTACTTCATTTCTTTATCTGAGAACTTAAAAATCTGGCCAATCCATGGAGAAATAGCTAATTCTAGGTTTGGGGGATAAAATGTACAAGAGAAGGCTAGAAATTCAAAGACTCCTGGGATCATGTCAGAAGATCTCTAGAGCCAGTTTGAAAGTTCCCCCACAGGCCAAAGATGGGACAATTTGAACATCAAATGACCATAACAGTAAACTTCTACACAACTTGATTTCTTCAATGATAAACGTGCACGCGTGCATGCACACAAACACACACACACACACAAATGAAAACAAAAGGAGAAGGAGATCTAGAGATCTAGAAAAGAGACTGAAGAGATGTATCAAATGTAATGCAAATGTAATGTAATGCATGTATCAAACCAGCTTTTTAAAAATTACAATACAGAGACTTCCCTGGTAGTGCAGTGGTTAAGAATCCGCCTGCCAATGCAGGGGACATGGGTTCAAGCCCTGGTCTGGGAAGATCCCACATGCCGTGGAGCAACTATGCCCGTGCGCCACAACTACTGAGCCTGCGTGCCACAACTACTGAGCCCGCACACCTAGAGCCTGTGCTCCACAACAAGAGAAGCCACCACAGTGAGGAGTCCGAACACCAAAACGAAGAGTAGCCCCCACTCGCTGCAACTTGACCGCGCGCAGCAACGAAGACCCAATGTAGCCAAAAATAAATAAATAATTACAATACAATCAGAGAAATGTGAATATGACAGGGTATTTGATGACATTAGGAATTACCATTATTTTTCTAATGTAGTAAGGATATTTCCAGTATGCTTACTATTATATGCTTAATAAGATTCCTCATCTTTTAAGGATATGCATTATTTACAGAAAAAATGATCTCTCTGCGATTTACCTCAAAATAATCCAGTGAACAAGAGGTAATGAATACATGAGGCTCATTATACTATTCTACTTTTGAATATGCTTAAAAGTTTCTACAATCAAATTTTTTTTTTAAAAACCCAGGGGCATGGGAGGAACAACAGCTGCATAATCTAGTAACTAAGGGTCTCTTCTGGTTCTAGTTTTCTGTGATTTGGAATAAAGGTACCAACTGTTACTACCTGTACTAATTAGGACATTTTATGGTGAAATTAAACAAAGAATGGTGTCCAAACTAATAATCCAGCTGATTTTATAAACTTCAGTTTATCTCAAAATTAACATAGTAGAAATAGAATCCTAAGCCTATAGTCTAGTTTTTCTTTTTTCAAACTACAAGTATCAATCCACTAGTGGGTTATGAAATCACCTTAGAAGATTAAAAAAAAAGCACTTTTTAATAACTAGAATGGAATGGATTGGAATGAAAGAAAAGGAAAGCAAAGCAAAAGGACAGAATGGTAAACAGTACACTGCTTATGATACTTAATGAAATTTCAGTTTTTACATATATATGTATATTGGGTGGCAATGTAAAATCTATTTCTTACTTTGAACATAAGACATACTTTTGCTGTATTTTACTTAATATAACAGTACTAAGAAGAGGAACAGAGTTAATAAAACAGTATTCAAAAGACCACTGGAAAAAAAAAAAAAGACCACTGGAGTGTTCAGTATTTTGTTTTACACCTTACATGTTTAAAACTACAGTGTCCTCCTGTCTGTAGCTACTCATTTTTGCCATTTCAAATGTTTCATAAGTCCATTTTGCAGATATCCAGAGAAGGAAAATCATAATCTCTGAAGGTAATAGTTATAATGTGAAATAGGTCTAATAATTCTGGTATCGTGAGAATGACACAGAGTAAAGCCCCCAATTCAGAATGCAACCTCTTGGTAAAAATAAAGAAGTACAGGGTTTTTCTAAATTCCCTTAGCTTTCTCTTATCAATAACTATTAAACTTCCCTCTGAACTGGATTATCTACATTTTTCTTTTGTTAGGCATCACAGACAGGGTAAAGTTTAAAATTATCTGATGTGAGCTGGGCAAAAAAGGGGGAAAGAATTCTGTGAGTATTGACTGTTATAGTACAGTTTAATATACTATTATAAGTAGTTTGTCTGTCTTTCTATTTCAGTGAGTCCTGATGATTTATGGTCAACTTGCTAGACACTTGTTTGCATATCTTCTTTGCCTTTCATTTGCAGGTTTATTTGTATGGTTTTCATTTGCAGGTTTATTTGTATGGTTTTCATCTGCAGGTTTATTTGTATGGCCAGAGTATAAAATCCCTCTTTTCCTTACTGAACTTCATTTTATTTCTAGCTTTTAAATCATAATCTAAGTTCTAAAATACAATTTACTGTTATACTTTTTATTTAGTTCATATGAAAATACAATGAGCAAAGTATTCAAGTAATATCGTTTATAATAAAAACATTAAAGATCAATGACCACAGAAGCAAAATGTAGAAAGCTTTTGGCAATATGCCCTGGATCTTTCACTGGATTATTTAGAGTAACTTTATTGTTTAGCAAAAAAAAAAAAAAAAAAAAGTATCAATTGTAGTAGAGCCTGTAAAGGCATCCCATAAATTTATTACATTTGTTAATTTTCATAATGATTTCAGTAGCCATTTTAATGTGCTCTAATGAATCTGGTCTTGTTGACAAAGGCTGTAACTCTCTCATCCATGAGTTGGCTTTTTTTACCTAAAGCACCACATATGTCATTTTATGTAAATTAACTAATTTTCCTAAAGTTTGTTTAATTCCCTCGGAAAACTACAAGGGAATGAATTATGGGAGAAATTAATGTAATGAGGTAGTCCATCTGTTATTGTTGGTTGATAGTTTTCATACTTGCCGTTAGCCAAAAGGCTGAGAATGAATTCGATTTTGCTTTTATATTCTTTTCCTTTTTTCTTGTTACTTAAGCAGTCAAAATCTTTGAAGTAACCATTCTTAAAACTTCTTAAGTATACGGCTTAGAATATCACCTTCTATATTTCATAGAATTACTCTGAATAATCTTTGGCAAATTACTAAAACTTTCTAAAAAAGTAATTTACCCCTCTCATTCATTGTGAGGATTAAGTAAAGAAATAATAAAGCATTTACTGACGTGCTAGAAGCACTCAATGATATTATTATAAAATACTGCTCTCAAAGGGCAAATTTTTTCATATTTAATTCAACAAATATATTTGGGCAAAAAATTTTGGTAAGATTAAATTAATAAAAATTTTTACGGAGGCAAGTTCGTGCCACACACTGCTGTAAGGACAGCATTAACAAATTGAATCTTCCCAACAACCTTATGAGATAACTACCATTATTAAACCAATTTTAGAGATAATGAAAGTAAGCCCAGACACTTGTTCAAAGTACACAATAGGAAAGTGTAGGAGCAAATTTTGTCCCTTGACAGTCTGACTCCACAGCCCTCACTTTTAACCACCTAACTTTAACACTATTACTGATATCTTAGTGGATAGTATCAAAAAAAAAATGAGTTTCTCTAGTTCTCTGTTTACTGAATTGATGAAGCTTACATCTTTAAAAGCAAGTTTCTAACCACAACTAAAACTTTTAATCGTATTTTTTCATGAAAAGAATCAAGAGCATTCAGGGACTTCCCTGGTGACACAGTGGTTAAGAACCGCCTGCCAATGCAGGAGACACGGGTTCGAGCCCTGGTCCGGGAAGATCTCACATGCCGCAGAGCAACTAAGCCCGCAAGCCACAACTACTGAGCCCGATTGCCACAACTACTGAAGCCCATGCGCCTAGAGCCCGTGCTCCGCAACAAGAGAAGCTACCGCAATGAGAAGCCCGCGCACCACAACCAAGAGTAGTCCCCACTCGCCACAACTAGAGAAAGCCTGCGTGCAGCAACGAAGACCCAATGCAGCCAAAAATGAATAAATAAAAATAAATTTACAAAAAAAAAAGAATCAAGAGCATTTATAAAATTTGAAGATTAGAAAAAGGAAAAAAGAAATTGCTCAGAAGCCTCCCATCTTAACACAACCACTGAATTTTGGTGACAAATCACCTAAAGTATTTACACAATTGTATACAAACAGCACATATATTTTCCCCCTACTTTTTCACTTTGCATTTTATATAGGAAATGTTCACTATTACATAGTTTTCAGAAATATTTTCATAATATATAATTCCATACTATGTAGTCTAAAGGCACTAGTATAGCTTATTCAACCACACTCTAATGGACATTTGGGTTTTCCCCAATATTTTTACTATTTAAAAACACTGTGACACACATATTTATAAATAAAACTTCTTCCCACAAGACTATGTACTTATAGTAGGAATTCCATGAGTGACTCTACCCCATGTATGAACCTTGCTCAAGATCCCAACAAACTCCATTCTAAAAGGACTATAACAGTACATTGTCAGAAGCCATGTAGATGTAACATTAAAATCACCAAGTATTATTTTTAAGAGATATTGCCAATCTGATAAGTTACAATTGTATTTTGACGTGCATCCTTTGATACTTATGAAGTTGAATAATTTTCCATACATTTGTTTACTGAGTTTTATCTTTTACACCCTTTGCCAGATACCAATTATTTTTTATTATTCGGGACAAATATTTGCCTTAAGTCCTTTCACAATAAAATTTGAAATATGCATTACAGGCTTCCCCAATAAATTACAGAAAGGTACAGGATATAATTTACCCTTTTTTAAAAATTGACTCAGGACAATCACTTACTATACCAAGTACGGAGATTCAATCTTTATTTGATACACATTTTTCTGTTACAAAATTTTTTTCCAGGTAAAGGGAGGTTTCAATTGATACTTTAAAATACTTAAGATTCAAAGTATTTTTTAATATACTACTTAATAGTATTAGCTAATGAATAAGGAATAAAATGATAATTTCCCATATCTCTAAAACCTTCAATAATTATAAGGTTAGACCTAGAATTCTGTGAGCTAAAATAAGGATTACAGTAATTTCAATGAGGAGAACTGAATGCGACATTTAGGAAAGACATGCGACAAAAAAAAAAATCACTGAACTACTCTGTTTTGAACCTTGATTTAAGTGTGGCTTCATAGTTAAGGGCTGTGATTATCTTAAGAGAGTAGAGTCAATTAAACTAAAGCTCTCCACAAATTTTTACACTCTGTGGGAAGCATACTAAGTTATTCCTATCAGCAGTAGAATGAAAGACTCTCCATTGCACGCTCCCACTCAACTTTCAGAGGCAGGATTCACAGCAACCTCAAACCTCTGGATGGTTTACTGGGTTTTCTAACCAATTGACCAACCACCCTTCCGCTTGTAAAGAGAACAGACCCAGGGCTTCCCTACTGGCGCAGTGGTTGAGAGTCCGCCTGCCGATGCAGGCGACACAGGTTCGTGGCCCGGTCCGGGAAGATGCCACATGCCGCGGAGCGCCTGGGCCCGTGAGCCATGGCCGCTGAGCCTGCGCGTCCGGAGCCTGTGCTCCGCAACGGGAGAGGCCACAGCAGTGAGAGGCCCACGTACCGCAAAA